TTTCAACCTTATACATACATCCCTACAAAAGTTATAGAGCGGTAACTGAAAATTCATTTTTTTTCCCAAGTTGAAGTGGAATAACTGTTAAAATTCATCGGAGCATGACCAAATTCGAGCTTGACCTGCATTTTCTGGTAAAATACCAGCATATGCAATTTCAACCTTATACATACATCCATACAAAAGTTAGAGAGCGGAAACTGATAATTTCTTATTTTTCCCTAAGTTCAAGAATAACTGTCAAAAATCATCGGACCATTACCAAATTTGAAGTTTACTTGCGTATTCCTATGTCATATCCATATGTCAAATTTGAATTGAATGTGTGCAACTGTTGCAGAGATAATGAACGGAAAGTGAATGATCACGGAATGACAGAATGACAGAATGACGGCATGACAAAACAGGGTAACATTACATCCCCGGCCATTTTATGACTGGGGCATACAAAACTTATTTTGATGGGATCCCCTGGAATTAATTAAGGACTTAAACCCGCCTTGTTTATATGACGTCATAGTGTCACAATCAGCTGCTTTCCATGCATTTAATGTTGTAAATATATTCATGCGTAGGGAAAGATTCTCACTTGATTTTATTTGTATATTTGCCTGGACGAGTTCAATATCTACCACACATGATCAACATCACTTTTCGACGTGACTGACTTTTGACACAGAGATTACAAATCGACATTAAACTGTGCATCCCTCATCTCTCTGAATCTTTTTTGGCATTTAAAAACAAGTACTCGAGATGCTTTTATTTCTCATTAGCCCGTTTACCCATTTCCTAGTATACCAGATTTTTCAGGGGCGAAACTTGAAGGACTGTTTAAAAAAGAAATACCTCCCCTTTTTAGGTCATTTACATGCCTTTAATTATTTGAACACGCCATTTCACATTTAAGATAAAATTTCATATAACTTATAGAACGAAGTAAAAATTGTAAATTTTACGAAAAAAAATTGTCATACCACACGCCTGAAATAACATGATTTTTGGATGACCAGTGCTCATATCAATAGAGTTTTTCTCAGTTACAATCAAGCGGCTTTAATTTCAATGCGCTAGTCCACGAACTATTTGACAACCCCACATACCTGCTTTTATTTAAACAATAAAATGCCTTCTTTGGTTGTTAGTACGGGAATTAATGTCGCAGCTGTTGCAGAAAAAATACGTAACCCGCATAAGCGGGTTATGTGAATTTTTCTCTGCAATAGACATTTTATTGTTATTATTTATATCTGTATAAATAATCATTTAAAGAAGGATTAAAATGATTAATTATTGTATTATTGATGTGTATCTCATAGTATATTTCTTTGATGGAACAGCCACTGATCAAGAAATGCGTAGTGTTGGTCATGAACTGATAAACAGTAATGGTTTTCTTTAGAAATAAAGGAGAAAATAATAAGTGAATGTATATATTTAGTGTTAGTACATTAAAAGTGCGAAAATTATGAGAAAATTTTCATCGAAGGATGTTCATTAGAATGTAGAAATAACAATTCGTTTTGATAATTTCAGAACGACCCAAGTTAGCATTTTGTTCATCTCCTGTTGTGCATATAATAGATTTGTTAATTTTTCTGTTTTCATGAACGTTTTTGAAATTTAACATCATACCCACAGGCCTGCTATACACATATTTACATGTTTTAGTCGTTGACATCCTCTTGACATGTACAAAGTATTCTTTATTCAATAACTTATGCCCTTGTCATCTGAAACTAGTCCAGTTCTGACAAAAATGGCATAAACGATCCGACCATATGAAATTTATCCCATATTAATGAATCTAACCGATAGTAATTATCTTCTATTTTAGTGTGCAAGAATGGATTTTATGGTGAAACCTGTGAATTCAACTGTGGTAAATGTATCCAAGGAACGGTTTGTAATAAGACGACAGGAATATGTCCAGATGGTTGTCAGGATCATTGGGGTGGTTCTTTGTGTGATGGTAATGTGACCGACCCGTCCACAAACATCATTAAAGAAAACTTTTGATTATTTTATTAAGTCTATATATAATTTCGTATATTTTCTCCAGGATATCCAAGTGTGTTTGTTTCATTTAGAAGGAGTTTGCCGTTCATTAATAATCAAGAGCTTACTATTTGAAAATGAATTGTAGACTGATCTTATGTACAATTATGTTGAAATAGGAGAACTGTAATAGAAAACCGCAAATATTTACAAAAATGCTTTCTCCTACTAGCCACATGATTCCACATATAATGTTCAAAGATCCTCATTTTATGCCCCGATCATAAATATGTACAGTTTGTAGTGTTTTTCGATCGACCATTAACTTTATCATTTTAAAGCACAAGTAAGACAATGCATTATTCTTTTTTCTCTAAATAACCAAATTATCTATATATCTGACTTACACTAGAGCGACGAAAAATTCCGAAATTTATTCATTTCAATGCACAACTTTCGTTTATCTCAACTTTTCACATCGCTCAAAGTCGCCCGCGTGGCGCAGTGTTAGAGCGTTTGCAATAGACGTTGGAGTAAGGATTTGATCCTTACGTCGCATATTTGAATCCCACTGAGGGATGTGAAGACCATTCCTTTGGATGAGACCGTATAAGCCGAGGTCCCAAGTTACAGTAGGTTCTGGCTCCAAAAAAGATCTCTCCTTACTGAATGGCCCTTAGTGCAAATTATATGTCTGAATTTGAAGCCCTCCAACGGCGAGTGGTGGTGTCTCAATATGAATGAAAAGTTCTCAAAAGGGATCTTAAGCAAACAAACACATTGCTCAACGTCCTCTTCACATATGATATCGTCCTTCTGGCTTTATAGCTTCCCGTCTTTTTCATCGTGAACTAATCGACTCTTTTCAGTAAAAACACCAGACCAGAAATCCTTAAACGACTTTACCAGGTTACCAGGAATAAACCAGTGTTCGATATATATATATATATATATATATATATATATATATATATATATATATATATATATATATATATATATATATATATATATATATATATATATATATATATATGTATATACATACTTTGAAAAGTATGTATATGACACCACCACTCGCCTTTGAAGGGCTTCAAATTTAGACATATACATAAGTATATATATATATATATATATATATATATATATATATATATATATATATATATATATATATATATATATATATATATATATATATATATATATATATATATATGGTTTGTTTTGTATTGTTTTGTTTTTTTGTTTTGCGTTGTTCCATTGTTTTTATTTTTCCCTATGGACAGAGTTATATCATACACAATACAATATTCGAAACAAAAAAGGATTTTAAACCCCGCACTCAACAATTCAGCCAGTGCATTGTTAGCATCTTATAATAATGTATTCAAAAATCACAGAAAAAACTTTTCATAGAATATATTATATATTTTTCCATATCATATTTTATATATACTAGAATGTAAAGAAGGGTTTTAAGGGCAGGCATGTGAAAAGTTATGTGGAAGCTGCAGAAATGGAACATACTGTAATGCATCCACCGGTCTATGCCCGGACGGATGTAAAAATCATTGGGATGGACTGATGTGTAAAGGTAATGTACTTTTGTTACTACGAGTTGTAATAGTGTAAGCATGATTGAATTTCAAAGTCATGCCATATTTCTCCCTGATAATAAATGAAAACTCCACTTCAAATCAGGAAATAACATTTAATATAAAAAATATTTACAAGGCTTTAAAAGTAAAGGAATCCAGTCCCCCATGCCCCATTCCCTTTAAAAAAATTGCCGTAGAATATATCAACTATTTCTTCTTATACTAAGACATATCAAAAACTATCCTATATTACTATAACTGCGAATTCATTTTGTGTAAATGGCGATAATAATGTTATATAACTTGTCGATGCTATATAATTTATTTTAACAAAACAAATCCTGTTAATGATCGTTCACTTCACAGATAAAAGGTACATCAAGAGTCTTTCACAAATTCAGTATTGCAATGCAGCTCGAAGAAATCACTAAACTACAATGCAGAGTAGATTAAAGAATACTTACATACTTTTTCGTAGTAGAGTTGTTCTAAGTACTGTAAAACAACATTTATTCGCTTCATCTTTTTCTTCGCGACTCGTCGGTTTGAAATTAAATCCTCGGCGATTAATGTTTACGACAAGTGACACATTCTACCCAAATTTACTGCAAAATAAAGGTTTATGGCGATAAATATTTGTGAGTTAAAGAAAGGGGCAAAACTCAAGGATATTTCTCGCGCGCACAATTAAGTTAATTTACGGTAATAACATTCTTTGAGGAAGAAAATAGTGAAAATATCAAAAATTTAACGGAGCGTAGGGGAGATGATATTACTAAGGGTATAATATTCACATTTTGTACTAGTTTCGTTTTTAAACAGGAAAACTTATTTTGTTGGAATGTATCTCTCCTAGAGGAATACTTATTCAATGGTAGCCATTTTTCTCCATATTAGTTTGTCCTCAAGGGTTTTATGGACGAAATTGTGAATATGGCTGTGGTAAATGTAGCAATGGAACTTTTTGTGATAACGTAACAGGAATATGTCCAGAAGGATGTCAAGATCATTGGAATGGCTCTTTGTGTGACGGTAAAATACTAAATATAATTTATTTAAATTATTGTTCTAGAATTTCTGTCAAATTTGTTTATTAATAGATCTTAAAAAATGAATTTTGAACAGATACTTTAGCAAACTTGCGAAATCAATCATCTAAAAATGATTTTTACGCTTACATATTTGAATTACCAATGGCAGGCTTTCGTTATTTGTGTTAAAGTTAAATATATATTCTTTTTTATCTTCGACACATGAATTTATTTATTACTTTAAAACATTTTAAAGAGGCAAACATTTTGTTACAATAGGCATGTTTTCCCTTTTTTTTTTACAAATTAAAAATTTGCAATCTGACCATTTTTTTTTTAAAAAAAGAATGTACAGAAGGATTTTATGGACAGACATGCCAAGACATATGTGGACATTGTAGAAATGAGACATACTGTAATACTTCAACTGGAGTATGTCCTAATGGTTGTGAAAATAATTGGGACGGAACAATGTGTAAAGGTAAAATAGGTTTTCTCCTACTATGAATTGTAAAATTCTCCTTTAATATATATATATTTTTTTTTTTCAATAAAATTCCTCAAGGGAACACAGTCTGTAAGACTTAAAAAAAGCACTTAAAACTTGACTTAAAAAAGCATTGTTTTTCTGAACATATGAGCTATTATACCACTAATTATTATTTCTCCTGATCAGCATGTGTAGGTGAATTTTATGGGCCAGCCTGTGAACTCAATTGTGGCAAATGTAAAAACGGAACTTTTTGTGATAATATTACGGGGATATGTTTCTACGGATGTCAGGATCATTGGAATGGCACTTTGTGTGATGGTAAAATAACTGATATTACATTTTACTTACTTTTTCCAGAGCCGAGTGTTGGGATAAAAACTGTTTACATTTATTTTAAAAATATGTAAAGTGTTCTTTTAGGAAATAATACCTTACCTTAGCTGTAAGCTAAATGTACCTTGTGAATCATGTAGAAAGTATTTAATTTTGTAGAATGCGAAAACGGGTATTTTGGACTTAAATGTGAGGACAAGTGTGGAAATTGCATAAACGGAACATACTGTGATAAAGAGAATGGAACGTGTCTTGATGGATGCCATGGTCATTGGAATGGATCAAAGTGTGACGGTATATAGATAGTTTAATGATTAAGATTATGCACAAGTATTGAAGTGGTTCTGAATAAAATGTGATATCTTAATGAATGTGTATTAGCATGTTCGTATACACATTTTGAAGTTCAGTCACATCATGCTAAGTCAGACAGTCAATTACTTGAATAAAAAAAAAACATCCTACTTTACGTTAATATTTATCCGTCTCCACATATTCATTCATGTATAATAACATGAAGCCGTTTAATTATTTTCTTTGTAAAAGAAAATAAATAACTTATAGTAAAAATGATTATTGTAGAGTGTGAGAATGGGTATTACGGTACAAAGTGCGAGGATGAATGTTTTAATTGTTTAAAACATTCATGTGAAAAGGTCAGTGGGCAATGTTTCGGTGGCTGTAAAGAGGGATGGACAGGTGCTAGGTGTGATGGTATGTATCATCAAACTCCTTATATTCACTTCATCAAAATTATACATTGCACTGTGTAAACTTACTGAACAAATACTAACACAAGATTAACCAGTACAGTAAATTACGCACCCTTACAAGGTTAATGCAATTCCAATTACATTCTGATGCAATTCATACTAACACGCAAGAGAAACGCAACAAGTAGTTTCCTACAAATATATGATTTTGTTTATGTAATGATTTTCACAAATGAATACAGATTTTAACAGTAAGGTAAAACTTGATTTAAAAGCATTAAAGTTTTGATTGAAACGTTAAATGTTATCTTTTAACTTCAGAAAGTAGCACATAACTGTTAAAACAACCCCTCTCCCACTCCCGCCATTCAATTACAGCCTGAAAGTTATCAATGCACAACAATTACAGCTCTGATTTACGATGTAGTACCTTCATCAATCTCTTGATCTAAGCGAAAAACATATTCTTCAGCTTTTTAAAGAGCCTGATTCTTAGATGCTGAAGTCGATTTTCCTCGAATATGGCGCAGTGTAGAAACCCTTGGACTTCCAGTCCATGGTCTGTCATCCATGCTAATTAAACGTATGATCATAGTGAGGTAGTGCAAATTTGCATCCGCAATTCTTCTGCACTTAATTTTGATAATTTCCAGCTAGAACAATGAATTGCCTGCTTTGTCATTTTGAAGAAGCATTGGCATCACTTCGGGAAAAGAAAGCAGAACTTTTCCTTTGGAATATTGCTATAATACTTATGATGAACAGATACAAACTCTTGAAAACCCAAATTATTGCCAATTGTTTTGTTAAACAATCAATTTTCGATTTCCGTGAAGTTGGGCTCAAACTTTACTTCAGGTAATGAGATGAAAATCATTCAACCCTTAAAAAACCGACTACACAAAGATGATTATGTCCTTACCTTTTTTAAGTACAAAGTTATACACTATATGTAAGAGTTCCTCCTATTATAGGATGTTAAGTTTTGTTTTTTTTTTTTGTTTTTTTTTTTTGTTTTGTTTTGTTTTGTTTTGTTTTGTTTTGTTTTTTTTTTCTTTTTTTTTTTTTTTTCTTTTTTTTGCGTCTCAGTATATATTCGTAGAAATTAACTCTTTACAACTTACTGAACTGTGACGCAACATACACTTAATGTTCACGTCATAGAAATATGACATTACCTTTTCTCCGCAAGCACTTAATAGCACGGTACAAGTTTCCCTAAAGTTTAGCGTTAATAATTAAGACGTAATATTTTAATTGGATTGTAACTTTTCTTATTTTATGAGATTCTAGCAAGTATAAAATAGAAGGGAATTGACATTAAATTGAAGATTAAATGTACTTTTGAAAGTGCGTGAAAAATGCGTGATTGCGGGGAAACGGTATATGCGTGATTTTGCGTTAGAAAAAGGAAATGGTATATGCGTTAAAATGCGTGACTGCGGGGAAGGGGGTTAACAGAGTAATTATTCCCACCACTTGACCAAAAATGTTACCGAAAATAAAATAATTTATCATAAGTATTGACATTTTTATTTATCCATAATATTTTTTATTTATGTTTGAATTTTTATAAAGTGGTCGTCAATTTTACAGTGCGACCCAGTCTGAAAGGACTTTTCCAAGATGGCGCTACAAAAAAGAGTTGAACTAAGATCAAAACTTAATCGCTTGGCGCAATTACGAAAAAACATTTTTTTTTTATTTTGCGTCAAGAATTAAGGTCTGTTAAAGACTACTTTAGCATATTTTACAACATTTAAAATACAGATCGATGATAATGGAAATGAAATCTAAAGATGCCACAGAATAGTTTCCGACATTCCGTTCAATTATCTGAAACTAATGATATTTGTAAAGCTCAGTATAAGAAATAGATATAGGGAAAAAAAAGAATTTGAAAAAAGATGTCAACATCTATTTTTTGCTGAGCAATAACACCGGACAAAAGAGGGAGAAAAAATGCAGTGAGAAATGTTCTAGATAAAAGTCATATGACGAGTGCAATTAGCAAGAAAAAGATTTTGAATTATCGTTAGTAGTTAGCAGGTTGAAACAGGAGACTTGACTTTATGGAGGCAAGCATAACGACACCTTATTCAAATTGACTGATTGATTATTGATACGCTTCCCAACACCAAGAGACCTTATTTTTTAGATCTCGTCTGAAAGACCCATGACTATCACATCTAATGCCGGGAGCTTGGTAACGAAAGAGTCATTACCTATGTTTATGTCTAAGGTTTTGCCCCAAGCTGCGAACGAAAATCGAAATCTGACCTCTTAATCACGAAGCTAGAGCCCTACCAATGGCTACCCTGATCGGTCAATTATTAGGAAAATATGAACTTGAAAAGTATCACATAGCAAAGTGTTGATACAACCTGAGCAGAAGAGACGTTTCCTATGTCGAAAATTACCAAGTGAACAAAGTTCTTCCCTCCCATGTGGAGCAGTTGTTAGAGCGTTTGGTCTACAGTTGAGGGGTAATGAGTTAATCCTTCAGTCGAAGGTTCGAATCCGACTGCAGGATGGGGAGATCGGTCCTTCGGTCGAGACCGTATAAATCCAGGACCTGTGTCGCAGTAGTTGCCGACACGAAAAAGATCCCTCACTGCTCAAAAGTCGTTAGTACCGGGTACAAGTCTCAATTTTTAGCCCTCCACTGGCAAGTTGTGGAGTCTCAATATTAGAAAAATTTTCCAAGTAGACGTAAAAAAAATAACCATACCCACCAACATATACTTAGTACAATTTTAGTCTAACATATTTCTATTGATGAATAAATTTTCCAGCATGACACTGGAATGATCACCGTGTACATTACACCAGGAAATTTAACCATAAAATCTTCAAATAACAATGGGCTAACAGGGACGGTTCTAACGTACCTATAGTATATATTTTTAGTTTTATTGTAAATGTTTAGTGTATATCAAAGCTTCAATGTAAAATTTCAAAGAACTACACAAATTACATTCAAAATATCAAAATATATTCCATAGGGTTTTGTAGGTTAATTTTCTTTATATTCCAGTTTCATGGATAAAAAATGTAATTTCCTCTTGTATTATATAAAAGTGTGAGGCCTTACAAGTTTGAACTCATGCCAACTCCTGTCATTTAGGAGTATCTATTACATCACATTAGATATGTCCTGTGCACTTATTTGACAACATAATTGTTTAAACTTAAATCGTATCTTTCCAATGTAAAATATGACATAAAATTTACCTCCAGTTTATGAATGATTCACACCGACCTCTGCAGAATAATATTATTTATCAGTAATTAGAAACTTGATGATGCAATTCGTTCACAGCCTTTATCATATCATTTGAACCAAGTAGAGGAGGAATTGTTGGTGGACTCCTGACTGCATTCACCGTGTTCGCATTCGTAGTCACTATTGTTATTCTGGTTCTAAGGTATCGTTTTTTCTTCTTATAGCATTTTTTGTTGACTAAAACACAAGAGATTTAAAAAAAATACATTAGAGAGCAAGAAGAGATCGCTTTGCAACTGTATTCTTCCCGTTTATTTTCAGTTAACTGAATGAATGGATTCACCCTGTGATAATTGTATTTTCCAGACAGTCTTCAAAATCATGAAATTTAGTTCCTTAAAATATTACAGGCGACAGATAGAGCAAAGAAAAAGAGAGGACACAGAAAACGTATCCACAGCCGTCGAGTATATCCCAAAGTGTAACCCTGAAGAAAAAGGATACGTGAATCTCGGTGGTAAGAATTTACGAAATATTATGTTGATCGATGGTTTCTCAAATATCATGGATATTTTGAAATACGTTTGAAAACGAAGCAATTTTATAATCTCAATATCTTGATATCCCGGATATCGTTAAGTTTAAAATTTGGCGTAAAAAGCTTCGACTGAATAGCAAACAAAAGTCAGTAATTGCAGCAAATAAATTTTCCAAACATGTAAAGTCGTACTTTTGAGTTAAAAATGAAAACAAAGCATATATTTAATCATCCCTTTCATAGAAAATTACATTTGTTTAGAATCAAGATCCTAACATTTTTCTTAAAAATGATATTTTTTGATGAAATTTACATATGTAATATTCGAATATGTATGATTTTTAAAGGTCATCTGTCCCAAGCATCACCTGACATTAAATTACAGAATTCTCTGTCCAATGGTATTTACTACAATATTAGCCAAGTTAGCACAATTATATATGTGGAGGAGCTTTACAACACCATTGCTACAAAAAGCAGTGAAAAGAATCGTGATTTTCAATTGGAATACAAGGTATCTAACCCTTACAAGAGTTGATTTTGTTGATATTATTTGCTGAGACCTTTTTTACTGTAGTGCAATTTATTAAATAATCAAAACAATCAAAATTTTAAAATATCTCTGGATTAAGAAACCTCAAGTCTACATTAAAGATAAATTGCGCAACGGTTATTTTCACTGCAAAGTACAGCTATCAAGAGGGAAACATACACAATATGCTCCCAATAAAGGCTTTGAAATTAAGCAAATTATCACTTAATCTACCATAACTTAATAAAGTACATTCCATTTTTAAGTTTTCTATGGAGAAGTATCATGAATATATTTCCTTATGTACCTTTAAAGTTATCAATTTTTAGGTCAACTGAGTCACTCAGGTGACCTATTGCTATCCGTTCTCGTCCGTCGGCGTGCGTCGTGCGTTAACATTTGAACATTTTTTAGCTTCTTCTCTGAAACCGCTGAACCAATTTCAGCCAAATTTGGCATATAGCATTTATGGGTGAAGGGGAACAAAAATTGAGACTTTCATGGTCCCTACCCCCCTGGGGCCTGAGGGATGGGGCTAAAACCACCATAATTAATGCAATCTTATAAAATCTTCTTCTTTACTCCTGCACATTAAGCAGTCAAACTGTTGGCATCATTGTAATAAGCATTGAGTCCTCTATCAAAATTGGGAAATTCATGGCCCCAGGGTGAGGGGTTCTGGCCCCAGGGTGGGGCTATATAGATCATATAGTGAAAATGCATTATTTCTTTGAAAATCTTTTCTGCTCTTGGGTATTAAATAAAGTGACTAAGTACATAGTTATGATGAGCAAGAGTGACTCTTCCAAAATTGTGAAATTCATGGCCCCAGGATCAGGGGTTCTGGTGTTAGGGTCGGGCTCTATTGATTATATAGTGAAAATGCATTAATTCTTTGAAAATCTTCTTCTCTGCTCCTGGGTATTAAATAAAGTGACTAAGTACATAGTTATGATGAGCAAGAGTGACTCTTCCAAAATTGTGAAATTCGTGGCCACAGGGTCAGGGGTTCTGGTGTTAGGGACAGGCTCTATTGATTATATAGTGAAAATGCATTATTTCTTTGAAAATCTTCTTCTCTGCTCCTGGATATTTAATAAATTAACTAAGTACATAGTTATGATGAGCAAGAGTGACTCTTCCAAAATTGTGAATTTCATGGTCCCAGGGTCAGGGGTTCTGGAGTTAGGGTCAGGCTCTATTGATTATATAGTGAAAATGCATTAATTCTTTGGAAATCTTCTCCTCTGCTCCTGGGCATTAAGGTGATAAACTAAGTACATAGGTATCATGAGGAGGTGGGCCTCTTCCAGAATTGTGAAAGCCATGGCCCCTGGGTCAGGGGTTCTGGTGTTAGGGCGGGGCTCTATTGATTATCTAGTGAAAATGAATTAATTCTTTGAAAATCTTCTTTTCTGCTCCTGGGTATTATTTAAACAAACTAAGTGCATGGTTATAATGCATAAGGATGCCTTTTCTAAAATTGTGAATTTCATTGCCCCAGGGTCAGGGGTTCTGGTGTTAGTGCGGGGCTCTATTGATTATATAGTGAAAATGCATTGATTCTTTGAAAATCTTCTTCTCTGCTACTGGAGATTATTTAAACAAACTAAGTGCATGGTTATAATGCATAAGGATGCCTTTTCAAAAATTGTGAATTTCATTGCCCCAGGGTCAGGGGTTCTGGTGTTGGAGCCGAGCTCTATTGATTATATAGTGAAAATGCATTAATTCTTTGAAAATCTTCTTCTCTGCTACTGGAGATTATTTAAACAAACTAAGTGCATGATTATGATAGGCAAGGATGCCTCTTCCAAAATTTGTAAATATATGGCCTCAGTTTTTGGGGTTCTTGAGGGGGGGGGGGCTATTGATTATATAGTGAAAAGGCATTAATTCTATTTATTAATCATTAATTAATCCTGTCTGCTCTTTAGTGTTGAGCTGATAAATAAATTGCTTAGCTATGATGAAAATGGTAGCTTCGAACAGAATTTTTAAATTTTGTGGTCCTAGGGTAAGGGGTTCTGGCATAACGACGGGGGACGGGGGGGGGAGGCTTTGATAATATAGTGGAAAAGTGTTAATTCTTTGAAGTCCATAGTTATGATGATGAGGGTAACTCTTCCAAATTTGTAAATTTCTTGACCCTTGGTCTTGGGTTCTGGTGTTAGGGTAAGGCTTTGTTGAATCTGTAGTGAAAATGCATTGTACCTGTGAAATTCTTCTCTGCTTCTGGGCATATCGGAAGCAAACTGAGTAAAAGTTTAAATGATATAAGTAAGCGTATTTCTACCAGATTTTTGAACATCTGGACCATTTGTCTAAGCATCCTGGTCCTGGGCAGGGCTCTATTAATTTGTATTCTACTGAGAGAAGTTATTCCCCTTTTCCATTCACCTTTGATAATTAATCACTGTAAATAATGTATTTGGAATGGTAATCGAATAAGGTAATTATGCAAGAATGTTTATCGTATAATTCAAAAAGTACTTTCTTAGTTTTAATAATCAGGTAGAGCTGTAAGTAATAGATAAATAAAAATGAGACAAAAATAACTTATCTTATTAAAAGTTCTTCAAAGACCATAATGTCAATGCTAGAGGTCTTAATGTGGGTTAGAAAATAGTACAGAAGCACTAATAGTTTGTTAATAGTCTGCATGGTGATAGTGTTAAGTGGGGGACAGATTAGAACTTAATTTATGAGTTGATACTGAATAATAGACTAATTATTTTGTTGATCCTGATCTTCCTACTTCTCTTGCTTTAGGGCAACAAAGCTTCATCTATCAGTGTATTTAACTTCTAAATTGTTGTATTATACTCAGGTGACCGTTAAGGCCCTTGGGCCTCTTGTTTGTACAAAACAATTTAATTATCTTAAAACTATTCACGATTTTAATATGGTATTTCCATTTTATTTTGCATGGAAATTTAATAGAGAATTCAGGAAAAAGCAAAAATCGTTAAAAAATGAAAAGTTGATTTTAATTAATTAAATACTTCACAAATTATACTTTGTGTATTGATTAGCATATTTTTTTTTCTATAAATCGAGGACATTTATATATATCACGAATATGAATTAACATTTAAAAATGAAGTAAAATATACTTCAAACGAGACATCTTTTTCTGCTTATAAGCATGTCATAATGGTTTTTTTTTTTTCTAAACGAAAGAAATAAATTGTTCATTTTGTTTTATTAATATTTCTATTTCTTATTTAAAGCTTATTTAACTAGGAATAAAACTTCGAAAAGATGAGAAAAATATGAAAACATTAAATAGTGATCGATAAAAAATTATTTCTTTTATGGAGAACTATCTTGAATACTTTTCCTTAAGTAGTTGATGAAATTAAAATTTTGTACAGAGCTTATAAATTATCTAAAACTATTCACGATTTAAATATGGTATTTTCCATTTTTGATGGATTCAGGAATAAGCAAAAATTTTTCACAAACGAAAAGTTGACTTTAACAAATCACTTAAATCCTTCAAAAATCATACTTCGTGTTTTGATTTAACATATTGTACATGTGTATTTCTATATATCGTAGACATTTATACAAATCACGAATATGAATTAACATTTTAAAATAAATTTTAAAGAATAGCTTCAAACGAGAAATATGTGACCAGGACAAAAAATAATACCCACATCTTGCGTTTTTAGATATTGGAAGTAAGCATTCGTCTTGTTTTATTTTATTTAAGAGACTGCCTCCTGCAGACACAAACAAATGTCTTACAGCCCAGAAGAAAGAAAACGTCATCAAGAACCGGTTTAAAACGACATTTCCTTGTAAGACTATTTTCTAAATACATTTTACTTATGTTTTGAAAGTGAGATTAGGCTATATGTTTAATTTACATGTATATTAAGTGTTATTCAAAGGGTAATTAAACACGATATTTTCTTTTCTAAATTTGTATGGTGATTGGGATATGAAATAGCACCTGAACTTCTTACACAATAAACACTGCAAGGACAAAGAATACTCATCGAAAGAAGTCCGTCCGTGGAAATAAGGCAAATGAATTGATGTTGCCTGTCAATGAAATTTTCTTATCGCAATAAAAATACAGCCTATTTTTTCTTTATTTCTGGTGTGGTCATATCAATATCTCTAGAGGTGACATATCAAACATACTTTTTGTATCTAAAGGTCATTTTTAAGGGAAATGCCCAGTCGTAATAATTCTATTTTATGCTACTGTAAAGATTATAGTTTTAATGAATTTATGTTTAAAAAAATAATTCGACATCATATGAATATGATTCGACATCATATGAATATAAGACCATGCCAAGAAGAACTTGATTAATATTGAAACAATGGCTTAGCTCTTATTTTCTTTTCTTTTTCAATTCAAATTAATCGGTTAATTGTCCATTGTGATTGGCATAGATGAACATTCGAGGATTGTCCTTGGAGAGAAATGGGACGAAATTGACAACGATTACATCAACGCAAACTTTATAAAGGTATTGCTTAAAACTGACGTAGTTTCGTGCATCATTGTATGTTCTTTGGTATAAGTTGAAGGTTTATATTTTTTCACTCGTTTTACTGATAAACCGATGCGCTTAAAGAATTTTGCTAGTAGTCGATCATGTGGAATAAATTATTGACTCTTTGACACTCTTCTCATGATAAATTTTCCTTATGTATTTGATAAAACAATCATCAACAGTCTATTTGTTCAATTCGAATACAGAGTATCCTCTGAAATCAAAAGTTTTCTTTTGCTGGCCTTGGTATTTAGTTAAAATGTCTGATGACAAAAAAATAATAATAGGAAATATTGATGTTAAAAAAAGAATACAGCCTACTCCGGATATATAAAAATTCAGGGGACCATGCAAATTATTTCAATATATCCGTTATTCAATATAAGCGAAATCGACTGAAGTGAAGCCGCCATTTTTTAAAAAAGTTTAATCCTGATCTAAAATAAAGAAGAACAAACCCGAACAAATTAATTTGGTCATCGTTTATCTACAACAGCGAACAGATTACATGGTATACTAGTCCTTGAAAGTTTAATTTAAAAAATCAGTTAGTTTTGTTTGTTTCTTTTCATTGCATTCATTATCAATAAAAAGTTCAAGATCGCCTTCTTTTACGTTTTGGAGAAAAATCACCGGACTCAAACGATTCAATTACTGCTGAACGCTGATTGTATATCATCGTAAGTGTACTCGGGTTAATCCCAATATCCTTAGCTATTTCGGATTTAGACTTTTTCTTCTTATCAATAGTACCGTTCACGATAGCTCAGTCGGTAGAGCGCTCGCTCCGTGATCGGGAGGTCGTGAGTTCGAATCTCGGCCGCGACTGACCAAAGTCGATAAAAAATGGGTGGCAACTGTTCCTTCGCCATGTGTTCGGCACTTTGAAGTGAAAGTTGCGGGTCCTTCGGATGAGACCTTAAAAGCCGAGGCCCTTTGTCACGGTAGGCCTTGGCACGATAAAGATCCCTCACTGCTAAATGGCTCTGAGTGCCGAGTAAAGGTCAAAATTTGAAGCCCTTCACCGGTAAATGGTGATGTCTCTATATGAGTGAAAAATTCTCGAATGGGACGTAAAAACAACATACAATCAATCAATCAGTCTTATCAATAGCCATAACTAGTTTGTATTTAGTGTCCAAAGATAAGGTTTTTCTTTTCTGTGGGGTTCCCATGTTACGTCTAGCCTCAGCACGTCCGTATAGTTACGTGAAAACAAAGAATTCGACAGTGAATAAATTCTATTTTGTAAAAGCAGTATAAAAACACTTAAGGTGAGAACTTATTAATTCACACCTTTGTATATCAACCGGTCAGTTAGGCACAATTACTGTCATCAACCGTAACGACAGCCGCCAGGTAGTACTTCAATATAACCGTTATGAAAACAACTCATTGTCACCTCTGGGGACCGATCAGTGGCTTCAATATAAGCGATAATTCAAAATAGCCGATTTCATTATAATTGTTATTTTAATGCAAAGAAAACGAGAGGCTAAAACTGGGGATTTTTTTTATTTCAAAATAAGCGATTTCAATATAAGTGGAGTATGCTGTATCTTGTAAACTAAATTTACATTTCATTGTTTTAGGATTATAAAAGCAAAAGACGTTACATTGCAGCCCAAGGTATAAAATGCATATATTTCTATTATGAATGTATGTATCTATATAAACGTAATACACAATTTTAAACACAACTTTTATTTAGGAAAACTATACACAAACATTATAATTTCTCGTACTACAATGATCCTATCCATAGATACAATTCATAGATGAAGCTTAAAAGTTATGCCAAAAAGTGATATTTTAATCATATTTTGAATGCAGGTCCACGGAAAAATACTATGGCAGACTTCATTAAAATGATATGGCAAGAGAACATAGAATGCATTATTATGTTGACAAATTTAGTTGAAAACGGAAAGGTATGATAAGATGTTAATTTATGTCTTGTTTTTTTTTTTTTTTTTTTTTTTCTGCCACGTGAATTTAAACTGTCGATGGCAGAAAAAGCAAACATTTTCATTTTTTTTTTCAGAATAAGTGTGCTAAATACTGGCCGAATAAAGAAAAATCTGTAAATATTGGACAGTGTACCCTTAGTCATTTAGAGGAAACAGCATATGCTTTCTATACAGTTCGAATGTTCTCATTTCAAAAGAAAGACGTAAGTTCCTATTTTTCTTGTCAATAATAGTTGATTTAAAGGATTAACAATATCTAATCAGTAATAACGCTTGGGAAAGAACTTTTTTAATGAAATAGAAAAGAAAGAGAAAATGTTATGCCTATTATTCATCAGGTTATACTGATGTATGGGATTGTATTACTTTTCTTATGTCATTTATCATTTGTACGCATTTTCACTTTGTCCATCGGAAAGCATAAAATTTATTTACATATACATGCATAGTATAAAAAACACTTTTTTTTCGATCCAGTCACATGACATACGGATAGTCACCCAGTTCCACTACACGGCTTGGCGAGATCACGGTACCCCAGAAGAAATAGAACTTGTTCAGTTTCGTAGAGCTGTGACAAAAAGATATGAATCTGGTTCCCCTTTACTAGTTCACTGCAGGTAAAAATTCATGCATCATTTTTTTTTTCAATTTCCCTTCCATATTCACAAAGTATGGGATTTCTTGCAGAGGGTATGTACAAAATCTGCATTAATTTATTACATCAAACTTGTGAAATAATAAAAATATTGCAACATTATGTGCGTAAAATGTTATTATCATTTTTTACTAGACGAACGCAACATATATTTATTTTAAAAGATAGTCCTGGTAACCGGATAATAAATTGAATTGCAATTCAATTCAGACAAGCAGGATAACTAATATAAATTATTCCCGTGGAGAGAATTGTAAGAGATAGTAGTATATCCAGTATAATAAATACAACTTTGAGACAATTCTGGTAATCAGATAAAAACTGAAAATGTTCCTGGTAGCCTGGAAAATTAAAACGGTTGTTAGATAAACGTAGTAACATAGATAATTACAACAATTGTAAAATAAACCCGCTTATTTAAATTGATTCTGGATATTAGGTTGATTGATACAGTTTTAGGATAATTCTGATACCACGTTTATTTGAGAACATTTCCGTCTGCTGCTAGGATAATTCTGATATTTCTTGCTTCATTTCAGCGCCGGGGTTGGCAGAACAGGTACTTTTATTGCTCTGGATTCTTTACTGGAACAAGGAAAAGAAATGGGGAGGATCAACGTTTTTGAGTTCGTCAAACAAATGAGAGAGGACCGCATGTCTATGGTTCAGACATTAGTAAGAGTGAAAGTCACCAAATCTTATATTGTAGATTATAACATAAATTTGTTGTTTACAAAAAGAAAAAAAAACACTTTAAACGCTAAACACATTCACAATGAGCATTGTAATAAATACAGTTATGAGAAAACAGGTACTATTTAATGCATGCCACGATTTTATTCCTACCCCCAGGAGCAGTATGTATTTCTTCATAAAGCATTGCTATGTGGATTCCAGGAGAGAGACACAATCATATCAGAATATGATCTTGTCACAAAAGTCGGCTTCCTTCTCAATGACACAGCACCATTAAATCAACAACAATTATACAAGGACTTTAAAGTGATTTTTACTAAATTTGAAGTACATCTTTTTATCTCTCTGCAGATTAACATATTCATAAATTATCAGTGTTATATTTGCATGTAATCTACGTTACTTTATACTTTCAATCAAAATTGAAAAAAAATAAAGTACAGCAAAACACACTTACGGCTTATAATGAATCGTCGCTTACAGCGAAGTAATTCCCATCCCGTGTGACTTTAGATAAATTATTAACTACCAAAAAAAGAATAACGCTTATAACGAAGCAAAATCGTCTGTCTCTGGCACTTAATCATAATCGTGTTTTACTGTACATATTTTTGATTCTTACTAATACAGTTCCTGGAAACCATAATTCCAGTGTATGAAGACGAATATAAAGAGGAAGCATTGAAAACTGAGAACAGGTCAAAAAATGTTGATATGGATATTTTACCAGGTATGCTACAACCCTAGGAATTATTCACTTAAGAATCATGTTTTCTTATCACACCATGTGATAATCTTTTCAAATTATATTCTTTCCATTCATTTCACATTTTCCACCAACAAAATTTAAGTTAAATTGAGATTTTTTCAGTGTCGGAATATCGACCATTTCTTGCATCATATGTGGAAGGAAGAAATGGATATATAAATGCAGTGATTTTTCCAGTATGTAACAGATATACATACAGATGTACTTTTGAAACTAAAGAACTTTCAAGTTCCTGTTTTTTTTTATGAAGATACATTATAAAACAACACCAATAAAAGGAAATTTCATCTAATTAATCAGTGATATTGTTTTAGTCATATACTGCACCCGCTGGGCTGATCATGACACAGAACCCCCTTCCTGATACGGCGGTTGATCTGTGGAGATTGTGCGTGGACAATCAGGTTGGGGCAATCGTTGTCCTGAATGACTTTGATGAGGTACAGAAAATCAAAATTATTAAAATAATGAACTGATAAACAATTCTTCTGAATGTGATTATATGTTAATTTGTTTACTAATATTTACTTGTTTATTTATTTAGTTTCCCTCCTCTTTACTAAAAATAAAACTGGGAAATGGAATTAAATTTGCATAAAGTATTTTTTTTTTCTTTTGATGTTGAACATAATATGTTTTCTTTATAATTTTGTCTTCACAAGGATAATAATTGGTTGCCCGCAAGTGGTGAGAATCGTTCATGCCCACCATACCTGATAACAGCTAGAAAGACTGGAACGAACATTGGTGGCGTCAGTCAAAGTAGTCTGCTTATTTTACGGGATGTATGACTGTCTATAACTGTGTAGACTTAGTAAAAAATATGTCAGCTATATTGAAAAGTGATTATTTAAATAAAATCGATAATCAATATTATTCTAACATTAGAAAAGGTTCGGAAAAAGTTATACTGTATTGTAATAAAGTACATAGAACATGCCAATTTCGTACATATAGGGAGAGACACAAAGCATAACCGCCTTTCGGGTAGGTTCCAGGACTGACGACGAAGTAATCAAATTAGCCGAGATGGTGTTAGAAAAAGAAAAGGAATCTAAGTTGACTTCTGTTGTTATTAGCAAGTATGTACGATGTAATGGTATTTCTAGAGATTGATATCTCCAATGCATAAAAATAACATTTATTGGATATTTAATGCAGAACATTGACCATTCTCATTCCATATTTATTGCCAGTACTAGTGCATAAAAACCAGTACTGTAAATTGATTCCTCTCATTGATTTCAGAGGAAAAAGCCATAAAAAATCGTTTTTTACAGTGTGTTATAATAATTACCTTTCACCTCTTGCTGTACAGCACATTGTAAAGATGTAACTTATGGTGTGTCTGTCAAACTTATTCTTTCTATATTTTTTTTCCCAAGATCATTTCCTGCACTTTTTCATCATTTAGGGTTACATTACAATAAGTAAAAAGTCGCCCGCGTGACGCAGTGGTTAGAGCGTCTGCTCTAGAGTCGCGAGGTAAGGAGTTGATCCTTACGTCGCCGGTTCGAATCCCACTGTGAGACGTGGAGACCGGTCCTTCGGATGAAACCGTAAAAACCGAAGTCCCCTGTCGCAGTAGTTGTTGGAACGAAAAAGACCCCTCACTGCTCAATGGCCGTAAGTGCCGAGCATAGGACAAAATTTGCAGCTCTCCACCGGCAAGTGGTGGCGTCTACATATGAGTGAAAAATTCTCGAGAGGGACGTTAAACAACAAACAAACAAAAAAACAAACAAAAAAACAATAAGTAAAACATGCACAGTTACATGTACATAGTTATTTATTGACTGAGAACGGGACATTCTTGTGTTTTTTCTTAATGAATGCAGTGAATGCAGTGTTTCTGCAATTAATTACTTTTTTTTCATAATTAACGCACATCTTTCTATGTATACATTATTAGTATATATCTATAAACAGGGATGGTGCAGGTGCAGCAGGAGTGTTCTGTGTTTTACATAATGCCCTTCAACAACTTCGTATGGACGCAGAGGTTGATATATTTACTATTGTCCGAAAACTGCATACCAGGAGACCTGAAGCAATAGCTAATCTGGTAAGTGAGACTGAAAACAATACTCCATCATATGTTATAATATAGTCAATAATTGGTTAAGCAATCGCTAAATTTTTCCAACCTTCCAAAAATAAGAAAATATGTTATTGGTATGATGTCTGGTGTGTGAATTAACTCATTTATCTTTTTCTCCATTTCAGGAAGAGTATAGAAAATGTTTTCAACTAGTTTATCGATCCGTTTCAATGAATGAAACATACGCCAATGTGTGAAGTGTTCAATGCAGTGTTTATTTTCGAAACATGTTTCAGGATACATATAGACACAAATAATACTTTCTTCCTCCAATATGTATCCATGTTCATTTTTATGTTCCGATTATCCTGTATTTTTATTTTTTATTATTTTTTTTTTTTTTTTTTTGATGTGAAAGTATGAATAATATAAATAGAATTGATAGTTTGGTAATCGTTTAATGTTTATAACAAAATTGAAAATAAGATATTGGATGTATATTGTTGAAAACATGCTTCTCAAATTTGCCATGCTATCACGGGTATAATGCAATAAACAATGCAGTGAAGGTTAAATCCCTGCAACTAGAACCAAAGAGAAGGGTAATTTACATATTGCTTCTGACGTGCATTTCTGAAAACTATGTAATGTTCTTAAATAAATCTTAACAGAAAGAAGGTGGTACAAAACATTACACAAGATGAAACACTTCCTTTAAGTTTGGCTCAGTGGTGGCTTATAGGTCCTTAATGATGGTTTAATGGTTGTCTTTAAGTCACCATTAAGAACCTTTAAGCTACCTTTAAGTTATAAATACACCACCATTAAGTTACCATTAAGCCAACTCGAAGTCCTTAATTGGTGCTTAAAGGTAGCTTAATGGTGGCTTAATGGTGGCTTATGGGTGCTTAATGGTAGCTTCTAGACAATCTTTAAGTCACCATTAAGCCAGACTTATAGGTGCTTAATGTCCAAACTCCATTAAGCTACCATTAAACCACTTTAAAGCTACCATTAAGTTACCATTACGCAGTCGATAAAACTACTTTTATAGGTTAAATATAATTTTTATAATGATTTTTTCACAAAAATTATAAAAGTCGAGTTTACACATTTGTTAATTCGGCGAAAATAATGTAAATGAAAGAAAATTGAAAAAAAAAATAAATGAAAAAAAAAACCACTACCAACAGGATTCGATCCCACGACCTTTAGATTGGAGGGCAAACGTTTTAACAACTGAGCTATCCGTGCTGTTTGAAGTTAAGTGAAATATAACACCTTTATTTTTAACAAAACTTGTTTGGACTGGTACCTGTACATGTATTTTTTTTCTAATGTTTATATTTATTAATAAATAATACGAATAATTATATTTGTCTATATTTTAAAAAAAAGTTTTTATATTAAGTTAATATTTCTTTACCGTGGACCGGAGTTCGGTGTGATGGTGTGAAACAACTTTTTGATTTTAAGTTACTGAATTCCTCATTCTGTTTTCGCAGATTTATAAGCATGAAAATATTGAAATTCAACAGATATAACAAAATTTTGTTAATAAAAAGGAATATATCATCGAAAGAGAACGATGGAAAAAAAACAGATAGTTCTTATAAATATGTTGTGGATATTTACGATTTTTTTGCAATTTAATTGACAATCTTTGCGTATCAATTAAGTTATAAAATATTTTTTTTAACATATCATCTTCAGTTTTAATTCTTTTTATATCATTATGGGTATCAAAATAATTGTCTTTTTGTCTACAATCATAATTTCTACTTTGTTATATGCTTGCGTAAATTTTAAGTTTTGTAAAAATAATAGATCATCAAAGTCTGTCACTGTACCTTCCCGTGTATAGTTTCTGTAAGTTGACCGGGACTGGTGGGGACACCTAATTAAGGTCTATTGTCTAACCAGTCGATATACTGTACACTGTTTATTTTAACCCGCTTCCCAATGTGTATAAATCTGGACGGATGCCTTGTTTAATCTGATCGGCTATTCTTCTGAAAATTGATTTTCAAATAACAATCATTGAAGACCGACTATATTTTGATCAATTCTTACTTCTGTATTATTTTAAATAAATTCTTACTTCTGTATTATTTTAAATAAATTCTTACTTGCAGTATTTTAAAAGAAAGAAAAAAATAATGGCACTTAACCACGAATTCAAATTATTCCTGAAGTAATTCAATGATTGGCAATATAATCTCTACCTATATATATATCTTTTTATATCTTAATATTTCTCTACCCAAAGAAAAATTAAGGGACTTAGAAATATTCCAGAAGAAAATGACTCTAACTACAATATTTCCTATGAATTCGGCAGCGGAACGTGGCTCTCCAAACACGAAAGAAAAATACGTTATTTTTAAAAAGAAATACTATATGTCATGTATTTATGACAAAAATAATTTTAAAACAAGTAATCAAACAAACTGATTTTAGGAAGCGAAAATTTTAAGGCATTTAAGGCAGTTCCCGAGTTTATACGAATTGACAATAATGTTAGAAATAGCGAGAAAAAATTATGAATTGAATAAGTATTTGCGTAAATGATATTGAAACAACTTTAAACTTAACAAGTTAGTTTAAAGACTTGATACTGGATGTGTTAAGGTGGTTAAATTAAGTTTGGACATTAAGCCACCATTAAGCTGCAGCTTAAAGGTGGCTTAATGGTAGCTTAATGATGTCATTAAGGAACTAGAAGCTGCAGCTTAATAGTGGTTTAATGGTGACTTAAAGGAATTAACTTCTATTAGCCGCCATAAAGCTACCAATGAGCCACCATTAAGCGATTTCTTAAAGATGTTTTTCGTCCTGTGTTATTTTTCGGATACTCAAATTAAACAACTTTATATGTTTTCTTAAGTCAAACTTTGATTTTTAATGACCAATACCATTGATTCCATCTTAAAAAGA